TATATATATAGATATAATATTCTGGACCCTCACTGCAAGAAGCCGAAGAGCCATTACTCTCTTGCAAATTATGAGAGGCTTCAACATAAAAGGTAAAACCTAGATTCCTGCTACACTTCCAAATTTGCCTAAGATAAACGCTTATCTTAGGACGTTCCCAAAGATATACTTCGATAATTGCAGAAACCAAAAAAGGGGACAGGGTAAGTCTAAGAAGATTAGGGTCCTTGGAACATGAAATTTATATTATAGGGACCAAAGTGCAAAAAGAGGAAAAAGGGGGAAAAGAAAGGAGCAGTCACTTGCCTGGTCTCCACATGAAAGTTGTCATCAGTTAAAAAGGACTAACCGACATCTGTCACGGGCTATTCTTAGCATGAATCAAGAAAAAAATTTATCAAATCAAGAGGCATGGTAGAGTTCTTGTTCACGTCTCTACAGTCATGACCAACTCTAACTGTCTTCTTTCAATCATTCTGCAACTAAACCATTGTTCATACTAAAAATTTGTAACATCCTTTAGCCAATCCACTCCTCATTCTCTACCTTCTTTCTTTCATAATGGTTGCAACTAATCTTAGTTTATTAAACAACAGTAATCCCTCATTAGAAAACTGGTTTATGATTAATCCCATGGTTAAAGGTGAATAAGCTGCATAATTAAAAGTGGTCATGACTGCTTTGTCTGGTGGGTCATGCATAATATTGTATACATATAATGTTATTTTAAGGGAAAAAAAAGGTTAAAAGAGATATGAAGTTCGAATCTCAAGATACTTTTGATCACAGTCACGAGTTGGTGTTTGCATTTTTCTTGGTAGTTAAGTAATTAAAACTTTCTGTTTGTTGTCTAAATTGTTAAATATACTTGGGAGAGAGAGACAGATGGTATGAAAGCAGATGTAAAAGTGTTCTCCAAGCTTTTTGTAAAATTTGCCAGTTTCCTTACCCCAGAGCATATTGGTTACAATGCAAGGCCTTACCCAGAGTGATCTAATTAATTATTTCTTGATGCCACGTAAACAGTGCCTTAAGCCAAGCCAGATGGATGCTTTAAACTGCAGGTGATGTGAGCTAGACTCTCATCAAATCCGTGACCAGTATCAGATGCGGAGGCAGGCAATTTCCATCAACGCTTTGCAGTTGGTCCCCAACAATTGCAGCATGGATCAGCAGGCAACTTGAACCAAGAGCAATCGGAGAATTGATAAGCAACAGAACAGTTCAAGCAGAGTAGTTGATGGGCTGGCAAGCACGGGAAATCATCCCAAAGTTTTACCTTTATTTTGGGGCATGTTTCTGAGTGTACTTTTCTCCATCTGTTGAAGAAGTTTATGCAACACAGGAGAACTCCTTTCGGGTCCCAAAAACAGGGAAAGAGAGAAATTAAAGCTGTTGTGCTTAGGTAATACTTTTAACTTTAGCCATGAAGGTTTGTGTTCCATCTGCATCCTAAAATCAGAATAGCCATGAATGGACATGCCTGAATTGAACGAGTTTCCCCCAATCTCCCCAACATTTAGTCTAGAAAGGCTCGAGAGATCAGATCGATCTTGCCAAAAAATACGGGATCATCCGTGAATTATTAGCAACTGTACCGTTTCTCACTCTGAGCAATGGTCCCAATTCCATTGCCACTGCATCTCCCAAATGCCAGAAAGGATCTAAACTGCCTAAAATGTATAGATTTCGTGAACAACGTGCACCAATTCTAACTTTGTTGTTGCACTGTCAGCCAGCAATTTGACAAGAATCTGTTCTAATCTTTCCCTGGCTGGTCCGCAATCTTCAATGATATATGTAAGACTCGTTGTCCTTGTTGCCGAGATAACAGCCCAAAAATAGCCATGTTTTCACCTCTGAAACTGAGATAAAATCTTCAAATCACCCCTCTCTTAATACAACTATTAAACAAAATTTTGTGGTAACTAAGAACTTAGTTAACCAATCAAAGCAACAGGCAGTGATGAATTCTCATACATCCACCACGAGCACCAGGGAGTTTGTAGTTTAGTACTGTGAAAGTCGTAATCCAACTTAACCTGCCTGCCTGGCTCCTCTCTTTTGTCAAAAAGATTAGTCAGGGGATTCCCCGACCAAATCTACCTTAAACCTTGACTCTTCTTTCTTTTTTAAAACCACCTTTTTTGCTGGCCATTCTCTTTCACTTCACGTGCTGTAGCATCCTGCTCTGAGTCCTTGACGGTTTATTCTTTAACAGGGGGGATTGATGGTTTTGTTTGCATATATAAACAATAGATCATCACTTTGTACTGCGACAGCTAGCCTTCACCCCAGACAAAACCCAAGTAAAGGCTGTCGTGCTAGTGAATGTTGGATTGAGTTTCGATTATTAACCCAGCTACTCAAACAGTCCTAGGAAAGTGGAGTCGACACAATGGCGCCGTGTACAAAACGGAGTCTCCGGTTCTTAACTCCTTTCACTAAATAATTTAGACTAAAAAATTCAATTTAAAATAGTCAGCTAGTACAATTATTATGCATTTCAGCAATTTTATACTACTTCTATATCATCCTATTAAATTGGTTCTGTCTTATATTGTTCATCTTAATAATTCATTATTTTTCTTATGTCCATCAAAGCATTGTGTGTCATTTTTGGCAGTCCAACCTTCTTTTTTTTTTTTTTGTGTGTGTATTATTAATTATGTAACATTAACGATTCCAGTTTGATTAGAGATGTCAATAGATACTTTATAATTGGGTATCCATTGACACCCAATGACATCAAATTCCTATACTAGGAGTAACATCAGAAAATTTTCAAGTTTGGACTATCTATTGTATAGTATGACATCATTGGGTATCTATTGTCAGTGTATAGAGGAAGAGAATTCTAGACCTTTAATTATCCACCTCCTAAATTTTGGTTCATACTATTAATTTTAACTCTTTACTGTATACTCATTTGAACCCCCCCTCCTCCCCTCTCTATAAAATTTGGGTAGCATTAGTATTTAACAAATTGGATAAGAGCAAAATTTATGTGAAACTAGTTAGATAATATTTGTAAAGTTTTTAATTAAAAATGGTTATATAAAAATAAAAAAATTAGATTAATACATTAATAGAATTTTCACTTGTTATAGTGAATGTTGATATAATTGTATGATAATTTTCACCCTTTCATATTTTTTTATGAAAGTTAATCAACTTAATTATAAAGATATATTTAATTTAAAATAAAAATAAAAATATTTAACTGACATAATAAAAGAAAAAATTATTTAAATTTTTTTAAATAATTTCAATATTTATGAACTTTCTTTCTGGGTAGAAAATTTTACCTGTAAATTTGACCCTGAAACAAAAAAGAAAAAAATAGTTGTGGCAGTAATAAAATGGGAATAGAAAGAAAATAACCATTGAAGGCAGTTCCCATTCTATATCCAGCAACTTAATACAAACTAGTGAAACTACAAATCAATTAGCCAACTCTGCTCCGCTACCAGTTACCAAACGCCGGACCAACTCCATCCCCAACTGCTCACACACCATCTAACCATCATGCAAACGGTCTTGCTGCCGGCAACTCGCTTCGGCATTTGTGCGGTGGCGATTGGTCCCCTCCCCCCTCATTTTCACCGACCGCCGCCCTCTCTCTCCCGCCCAAATTTTCTCACTTCACTTGAGACTCAGATACCAAAGCCTCTCTTGTCCCCCTTAGCTCCCTACGATCCTCTCAATGTTAAAAGATCTAAGCTTTTTTTGAGCAGAGTCTCTTCTTCCCCTATTTCACCTAGTTTTACATCTCCTAATGATGATGCTGAGAAGGCAAAGCTCGCTCAGGTACTCCCCCACTTTCCTTTTCTTACTCTCAGATTTTACCCTTTTTTAACTGATTGAAAAAAATCCAATTTTCAATTGGGTTTGACTTAGTTGGTGTTAAAGTTTCAACTTTATTGAATTGGGTTTCTGATCTTTGGTTTAGCTTGGTCAAATTTTTGTGATATATTATCTTCTGGGCAGTTAAAATTAAAAAAAAAAATTGACAAAAGCAAAAGAAATGCAACCAGTAATCAGCATTTTTCATTTAATTAGTAACATTAAAAAACAGATAGCAGCTACAACATTAAAACTACTAGAATGCTGTGGGTTAATTTTTGGTTGTCTAGTGTGGTTTTGGTTTTAGTGGACCGTAAATGAAGAATATTTTTTTTGTGGTTGTTTCAAGGAGTTAGGATAAGGATTTTGAATGGAAATGGTGCAGGTTTCGAAGAGGTTAGAGAGCACGTCGAGGTACTTTAAGCGATTGGGCAATTTGGGCTTTTGGGGACAGCTAGTATGCACTGTGGTGTCAGCTGTGATACTTTCATTTTCTGTTGTTATTACTGGGAAAATAACATCACCTGCTACCTTTTATGCTACTGCTGGTGGAATTGTGGCAGCGTTCATATCCGTTTTTTGGTCATTTGGGTATATTCGGCTTTCTGAGAAACTCAAGAGAACTGCTAATGATCCTTCAAAGGTATTATGAGTTGAAATTATGTTAATATTTCAAAGTATCTGATGCATTACTTAAACCTTGTAAAGTGCAGTTTTCTTTTTGTATGTTTGTTATTATATTTAAGTCCTAGGAGAAAAACTCAAGTAACTGATTGTAGTTTCTGTGTTGTTCTTAATCTGCTTTTGTTATTAGGTGTTAATGTTTTGGATGAATGCCACATATGAACCTGATTGATTGTGCATTATATATTCAGCTGTGCATTTTATACAGTCACATCATCATTTTAAAGGATAAAATACTGAGAGTTGAAGGGGCACAATTGGTTCCAATTTCTTTGTCTAGAGTCCTAGACATATAAGTTTTACTTGAGAGTATTCTCATATAGTAGCACAAATCGGTTTCTCAAGATATTTTGAGTTAATTATCCTAACATTTCACATTGTTTGATTGAAGGAAGTGAATTGACCCTCACTTGAAGAAACTAAGCTGGGTAAATTTATTCATTTCTTTTTCTTTTTTGGTTTACGCTTAATATAGCTGGTGCAATCTACACTTAGGAAGTTCAACTTATTTGGAAGAAAAGGGCAACATTTCTTAAATTTTTGGTGCTTTGTCTTGAGTAAGTAAAAGAGTCCAGTGGAAGTTGCAACACAGCCTTGAGACAAGCTATAGTTCACTTCTCTTTCTGGTTCATATGCATCATTTTATAATTGAACAATATCTTAAGTATTTTTTATGAGAAACGGGCTGTACAAGGATTGGCAGTCTTGAAGACAAATGGCAGAGTTATTTTTCCTCTAAAGAATTAGAAAAAGCAAACAGTTTTAGCACTGGTCATCAACACTCTTGGTATCAAATGACAGCTGCTAAAATTTGGGATTTCAAGGTTTTATTTCCTGGTTATTGTCACCACATTTTCTTCCTCAAAGGAGAGTTGTAGTGATCCATTTCAGCATGATCAAGATTAAGTTATCACTTGTGTATAGGATTGCTTTTGAGTTTGGAAGATTTAATGTTAAGGCATGCCCAAATTGAGGACTTATTTGAGTGTTAATTAATGCTTGTTACCGTATTCAATTTCCTATAAATTCTAATATTTCCCTTGGGTTTTCAGGCTCCTCCTCGTGCTGATGTTGTGAAAAGCCTGAAAAATGGCATAGTTCTGAATCTTCTGGGAATGGGTGCTGCTATTCTTGGCATGCAAGCAACAGTGGGCTTGCTAGTTGCTAAGGCTCTTACTTCCTCCACAAATCCTTACTACCAAGGAATTTCTCCTGGCTATAGTCCAGTGCTTGCATTGGATGTATTCTTGGTGCAGGTACTTAATCTAATTTGGAATGTCTGCAAAGTTTAACTGATTTAGACCCATGTTTGTGAATTGAGACTTTAGTTTCTGCATTATTTCCACCCTGCACACACGCCCTTCTCTTCCCTAAACCAGGAGAACAAAGAAAAGGGGAATTGGAAAGGAAGAGGAAGAAGTGTCCCCTCTAAAAATTTGAAGTCCCTGCTTTTGGGTTGCTGGTCAATTTTCAAAGGACCTGCCTTAAGGGACCTGCCAGCAATGTGTAATTTAGTTTTGTATGTGCAGAGTCAGATGACTAGATCTGTAAGATTGATAGCCACCAATTGCAGATAACTTAAAGAACGTGGTTCTCCATATATACATATAAATGCATGTAAATTTAGGGCTTGTGGGTCTCTAGACATGTAGTACACATAAATTTGAAATTTGCTTTTCTTTTTGCGATATTCTTAATCTGATATTAATATTCAGAGTTTCCCAAACCGATAAACATTTATGCTTGATATTCATAGTCAACTGATCTTGAAGGTGTCCTAACTAACAGCCAATATACGACTAATTGATCAAAGACAAACTTGTAATGAGTAATAGCCTTAATTATTGCATGTCCTTATGAATCTCTTGCTCATGCAGGCATCAGCTAACACTATCCTTTCCCATTTTCTGGGGCTTGTGTTCTCACTGGAACTGTTGCGCTCAGTGACTTTACCTCAATCAGAAAGTATTCCGATTCCCAGGGTTGCATAAATTCTACCTTTCTTGGTAAAAATTCATGAAGCTTCTGTTAGAACATGATTTTGTAGCCATAATTGTTGAAATGTAGATTAGTGAAATTCAATCTTACAAACCGTTTGACAGGTATTTCAATTCTAAGATCTGACAGCCATTTTATAAGCAGTATTGCATATTTTATTGATAAATGCATGTCCCGATACAGCATGGGGGCGATGATTTAGTTCGAGGTTGCATTTTCCTTGGGAAAGAGAATCTCCTGTCTTGACCGAGTTTGTGATAAAAAATACAGTCGGCCATCAGAAACAAGGGTGGTCATTGCTTTCATTGTTTTGAGAAATGTTTTCAGAAAGGTTACATCTTTCTGAAGTGTTGGTAGGAAGATATACTCCATTTAAAAAGGAAAAGCAAGCCTTTAGAAAAGAAATTACCTGAATCGAATCCTATACGGTAAGAGAACAGAAGAATATACCATCATTACCCAGGAAATTCACCCTCATATGAAGGGGTTTAATTATCCAAACCGTATAGGGAAAACATTGGTTAAATCATGTGTTCATTATGAGTTTAAGACCTCAGAATGTTGAAAATATTGTCCTTCATCCTCGATAACCCATTTAAACAACACAACTCATTATCCTTTACATCGTCTCACTACTCGCTACTGTTCGGAACCATTATTAAGGACATGAAGAGCAGGTATTGCATTTACTAGTCAGAAACTTCAATACGAGAACGTTGAGAAAGCGTCTATTTCTAAAACTACACTTGAAAAAGATAAAAACAGAGAATCTTAAAGGTTCAGGCCCGCGCCAAAGTGACAACCGACATCGAACCGTTATCAGGCCATCAAACAAATCGACTATATTGTAGAGGGTATCTTTGTTCAACACAAGGGACAGGTAATTAATAAGCTTGGACTCCACTGGCAGAAACAAGTTTCCTCCACCATTGCACGATATCTTTGACCAACCCAATTCAACAGGTAAAACATTTAAACACAAGTTTATAAACTCCAGGCCAAGCCTTAATCAAGGATATAGGGTTCCCGCAAAGGGAAAAAACAAGAAAAGGTTTAATCTTCTCCCAAAATTATAAGTTATGGGGGTTAGTCCTGCTAAAGATTGGTAACTCGAATAGTATAGAAAAACTGATGGCATCCGAGCAAAAAGAACTCATAAGCTTCACCTCTTTGAAAATCCTATGACCCTGGTCACACTTCACCACCTGAATACCCTGTATAAAAAAAAGGTACAAATACTTTAGTGAGAGAGAGGCAGGGGAGTCAAAAGGTGAACCAAAACAAGACAATTGGCTTTAACAATTTAACATTATGTCTTGGAAGTTCTGCAACAAAGCAACTATTAAATTCTGTGTCTGTGTTTATAACATCAAAGGTCTCAAAACTTGCCTGCCTTTTCCGGCAAAGTTCACAAGTTTGTTTTCAGCATTAATTATTCTGGAAATAATATGCCTAGACTTGTTGCTAAACTATTCAATTCTGAGACTATGGGAGTATGTGATTCTCACTTAACTTGTGCAACCCAAATCGCAGAAGCAACATATGCTACGAATCATTCGACTGAAGAGACTATTCAGATGTTACCATTTATGACCACAAAGTAACACTCCATGAAGTGTTATTAGCACATCAATTTAATAACCTCAACTCAGCTGGCCTCAAACAGGGACCTGTTATAAACGTTTGGACTATACTTTTCTACCAGCAAGTCATGGTTTGATCAAAGCTCCCTTGTATAGGTTTTCCAAATGGGTAAACTGACTTTCGGGCCAAATTTACTCAAGGTGACATTACAATTTATTATATAGAAATCACATCCCAAATCCCATAGATAACATGGATAAATCTTAAAGATCGGAATAATGATAAATCTATTTCTAAAACCTTTTAAATTGTGAAAGGCATATGTCTTATAATATTTAGACAATGGCCTGTTTTTCCAAACAATAGTTACAAAGCAAATTATGACGGCTGACTTTTGCATGGACAGTAAACTACCAATTTTTCATTTTTTAATCCTTGTTCATGCTTTACTCCATAAAATCCAAAAGTTTCAATTAGATTCCCTCCTGAAAGTAAGTCCATGTGCAAACAAAGCAAGAACATATTTGCAGGCTTGAAATGAGTAAGCATTATGAGAAAACTTCAACCGGTTCAGATTTATCTACACGTTGGAGGCTGCTTTATACATTTAGCAGTTCTCATTGAATGAGCATAAAAGGCATCCATTAACTTATTAGAACAAAATATAAATTAGAAAAATAAATGCACTTCAGGGTAGGGCTTCATGGGAAAAACAGGATTGAAATTACACACAGAGGACTAGAGATTTTAAGATCAGTCACTATGCACACATAAGGGATCAATTATAGCAGGAGGGGAGAGAAATCCAGGCAAATCCTGAACAACCCCAAATGATGCATAAACCTAAATAACATGAATGCTATAATCTTAAATTGTAACAGAGCAACATCTTCCCCAAAGAGGTGAAACTAAACAGCATCGCATGCTTGAGGGATGAAATGTCAGGATCATTAAGTTGTTCATACGTTATTTCTCTGACTTGGCTGTTACATAACTTTTCCTGGGCAGGTACTCTGGTCACTAGATGTGCATTTATAGGAGCAATAATTACCAGGTAGTATAATGGGTAATCAGTTTAACACAGAATAATTAAATGGTTGCACAATCCGAATTAATGCAACCCAAACAATGTCAAAAATGATTTCATGTTAAGTCATTTAGACCAAAGTGGTTTAAACAAAAAGGCAGAGAGAAGGAAGCAAACTTGCCTACTGCATCTTCTTTTCCTTTTTTGAGGGCAATGGAAGCTTCCTTAGTACTGTTTCATCAATTTTCCTGCACTGCATTTGAATGATTCTGTGTGTTACAGAAAGCTTCTCATCAATGTGGTGCTGGTACTTATCATATACCAGAGGTACTGATAGACTAAGAATAACTCCTGCAGATCATATCAATTGAAACAAGCATGTATGAAAAAAAATTAAGGGAATCATTATTATTACAGAAACAATAGCATATCATAAAACTCACCAATATAGACCAGAGTGAGGAAGTTGAAGAGACTACCAATATATGATAATAACCACAAGCCAACAGCAACCTGGGTAGCAAGAATCTTAAAAAATTTTGCAAGTAAAAGGCATTTTAAAGTTTTATATCAAACCAACAGAAAACCTACAGAGACAAAGGCAAAACCTAACCTCAAGAAAAAGTTTCAAATTTCTGCCAATGGCAATGTCATGTGCAATCGACAATGCATAATTGATCCACACTTGTAACTCATCAGCAACCTTCCCAACAGTCTTCTCAGAAATTTCCAAATTAGGAAGGGGCGGCAAAGGTCTGCATCAGAAAGCAGAACCAGTTCCAAATTAAACCCAAACTAAACAATATTATAATTTCCATTTTTCCCTTTTTAAATAGAATTTCCACTAAAAAACCCTCATATATTGTTATCATAAAAAAGACAAAAAACCTTTTTCTTTCTGGGTGCGATTACTTCCAAAGAAGCATGCAACAGAATACATAGAAAGGATGAAGATTAAAAGAATAATGAAAAAATCAGTTAGTGAAGAAAACGTTAAAAATGGAAAATACCTGTTGAGAAGGGAAGCAGATTTGGCCCAGAAGAAGAGAATAACAACAAGAAGCAATAAAACATTGGCCACAAAAGACAAGAAATTATAACCAGCTCTTTCAAATAGGTACCACAACGTCGTTGCAGAGGCTAGCATCACAACTCCGCCACACCATTTTCTCCACAATAACACATCAGCCACTACCAAGAATACATAAATAAAATTCAACGCCGACCCAGAAAGTAACATAACATGAACAATTGAAAATAAATCAGAATCATGCAGACCAAAGTTGGGGTCGATGAACAATATATTTGTACTATAACTGAATTCTGGAATATTTTGTACGGAGGGGAAAAACCCCGGAAGCATCCATTTATAGAAATGATCGTGGAATCGTTAGTGGAAGTAAAAAAAGATCTATCTGGAAATGAAATGAAGAGGCTGCTGCGTATATGTGTGAATACACTAAGAATATATACACAGGTATAGAAGGAGAGAAAGAGAGAAGAGACCTGGGCCACCACCAAGAGCTTGATGAACTGATAGGCGGGGTATAGGATTGGAATCTCCCATGACGATTACTACTTTTTTTGTTCTTTCTCTCTGAAATTGATTCGAGGGAGAAGGAGGCAGAGAGATAGGGAGGGATAAAAAAAAACGAATACGAACAGGAACGGCAGCACCAACAATGAAATGCAAGGAAGTGAACATCACAGGTCCTGCGCATTGAAATGGGCTTTTTACATGAGGAAAGCAGATGGGCTCATCCGGCCTATAATTTGGTCAGCCATCGCTAGCGGCCGTATCATAATATTCAACGTGTATGATTCCATAGTATCAGATTCGTGCTAGGGGTCGGACACCACTTAGAATATTATTAGTTGACAAAAAAAAATCATGTGGGGACGAATCATAATAATATCACACGACAGTTGAACTGTATTTCCACATGTAAAAGTAGACATTGAACTTACTTAGATTATGCCCTTTTTTCTTTTGTCTAGAATTTGATAAACTACCTTCAAATTGGTATAGGCCATAGGGCATGTTGTAGGTTATACTAGAACTTTTTTGTTTTTTCTGTGGATGTCAGGGAAGAAAGAAATTTAGAAAGGGATTTAAACCTTGACCCCTTAATCTTCTAATCTTGAGAGTGCCTCCTTGGTTTACATACGACGTCCACATAAATAGACTTATAGAGCGTATTAACTGTAACATTGGCTTCGTTGTATCATTGAGCTTAAATTGATGTCGACTCCAACCATGGTTTCTCAACTGATCTAATCAGAGATAGCGACAGGTGACGTGAACAGGAGACCAACAAGAAAATGATACGGGCAGCTGATGCCCTGGACCACTAGGGCTATCTTGCATTCTTGTTAACAGTTGCCTTGGTGACAACACTGCACATGACGGGCAGATCTAGTCATCAACCACCCACTTTCATCCCACAATAACTTTCACCCCTCGTACAATAATTCTAACTGCAGCACGGACCCAGTCACCTAAGGTAGATTATACAGAAAGGTGAGAGTAACCAAATCTCCAAGTAACGCTGTATTCTGAAACGGAAAACTTCCGGTTTTTCTAACAGATCTGTCACTGGTTTCATGATCTAGAACTGCAATACATATTGTCAGTAAATACAAATCTTCTTAAGCCAACAAAGATTTCAAAGTATACAACAGGCATCAAATGAACTCATTTAATATGTTTTCGATGGCAGGACAGCATCCAAGAGTGGTTAAGGCATTCAATCTGTCAGTCAGGATTAGCAAAACTTCTGTTACAAGAAATTCAAATATTTCAGACCTTTTTCTTTGGACTTTCATTTTCCCCCAAGCCTCATGCCTTCACTGCTTACAAGTATGTAGACAAGGAAGACCAACTCAGTAAAAATCAGAACTGAACCACAATATCTCGTTGTTGGTAAATCTGATTCCTTCTAATTGGAGCCAAATTCACAGGATCAAGCATGAAAAAGGCTGGAGCATTAAATTCTAGTAAAATTTTGCTCACTGTGCTGCTGCTTCATCATTGTCAGAGTCCCCTGCATCATCAGAAGATTCTTCTTTCTTATTCTCTTCTCCCCCAGCACTCGATTTCATCTTCTTCTCCATTTTCCTTTGCTTCTTCTTTTGGCGTTTCAAGCGCTTCTTTGCTGTCCGTTCCTCAGCAGCTTTAATTTTTTCTTCCCTCCTCAAGTTAAACTCAGCGATTTCCTTCCTTTTCTGGTAGTCAGCATCCATTCTCGCAAGCCTGTCTTGCTCTTTCCTTCTCATCTGTCGATACTGTAGCAACAAGCAGAAAACTTACTTTGATAAAAAATGAATGAAGATTTGTAAGGCTGGTAGGTCATATAATTTTTCATACCCAGATTTTCCAAACAATTAAAAGCAATCATAATTTTACAATCTACACTTAATACTAGCTCAAGTAATTGCTTATTCTTAATCTACACTTAATACTAGCTCAAGTAATTGCTTATTCTTAAAGGAATCATGTGTGCACCAATCTAAAAAAGAATCAAAGATAAGATCCCATGTTGTCCCAATTGCCCTAAGACACATAGAGATTGCACCAAAGAGAAGCAAAATCTGTCCTTCAATCATATGTTAAACCTGACATTGTTATGGGTCATGTAAGCTAGAAGAAACCTTTAAGCAAAAACTTATAGGGGACATCAGAACCATGAATCATAATTACAACAAGTACGATAATAGACACTTCTCAAAGCTTGGCTAATCCTGCTCCTGTTGAGAGGAAGCTTTCGTATTGCACTTTCAGAACATGGAACACGCTAAGCGTTGCACTTCTAGATTTAGTGCTTTGGGTGATTTGATGGCTAATCAACAATCCTACAATTAAACTTTCCATAAAATCTGAAGATAACCAACACAAACTGATCAACTATCTTTAAATTTTCGCACATGCAATACCTATTCCTCCATCCAAGCTGCTAATAGAGCAAACAACGGTTCAGATTTAACATGCAAGTTATAAAAATACATCCATAATCTTTTTTTCTCAATGGATAGTTATAGGTATAAAATACCTGGTGGAAATCACCGGACCCAGAACCAGCAGAACTTCCGGAAGTGTTACTGACGCGGACAGGCACATTCTCTATAATCCGGCGGAGCTTCACCTCCAAGTCCTCTTCGTCCTCCTTGAATACCGGTTTCTCGTACTCTACAATCGCCGTCGATGCTGCCAACGGAGGTCGCGGCGGTAGTCCTACCTTCTGTTCCGCTAGTGCCAACTGAGCGTCGCCGTCCTCTGGCCTGCCCGTCGACATTTCGTCGCAAAAACCCTAACGATTTTGGAATTTTGGGTTTTCTTGGCAGATTTCCCCTTTTTTTCATTTTTGGAGTAAATTCCAAAAAAGTCCTCAAGATTTGACACTGATTCAACTCAAGATGTTAACAGAAACTTTGAAATTACTAAATTATCCATTAACGCATGTTTCCCTCTTTCCTTAATAATAATGGGCTGGGCTCTGCATGGACATTCAAGTTCAGCTTCTTATTCTTTTGGATCGTTTGACGGACTTTTTCACTTTTATATCCAAAACATAAAGAGCTTGACTCAAAAATAAAAATAAGAAGTAGAAAATTGGCTTACCTTCTAAACTAAGATCAAGTAGCACATTCTTCTCCACCACTTTTTCCCCGATGTTATCAAAGTTTTTGAACCTATTAGGAAAACCTCTTTCTTTTTCCTTTTCTTTTTCCATTTCAAATAATTAAAAAAGATATATAAAATATTATTGTTCTAAAATATAATATGATTACCATTAGATTATTAAATTTGCCACAAAAAATTTATTTGACCTTTCTCCTTTTGTCGACCAAACAAAAGAAAAGCAGCATGTATTTATTTTGTTATAATGTTATTCTTTAAGTTGGTTAAAAAGGCAGCCAAGTTGGCTTCTTCCACCTTGTTAAATAATTAGAAAACAAAAAATACCACTTCGAAAAGCAACTTTTTGGATTCCTCGACTTGGCAAACATCAGCAACATTTTGATGGCTTTGGCCGCTAAAGCTTGCTTGCACACACACGTTATTAATAAAATAAAGAATCCCCTTTCCTTATACTTACGAACTCAATCGCCAAGCACATCGATGACGGACTCCTTTTGGATTTAATTAATGCAGAGACATGTGCCATACCTGGGAAAAGCAATTTTAATTATATATATTTGTTGGATGGACCGTTTAATTTAATTATGAATCTATAGCATAGATTATATCGACCACAAAGTAGGAATCATCCTTGATCCTTCGCTATCACGTGTAATATCGTTTTTATTGTTATCTGTTTGTCCCATAATCTCTAACATGCTCCAATCTAACAGAATTTCATTGCTCCAAACCGTGCAATCTTTTAAAATTTTTAAAAAAAATTAAAGTTTTGAATGGAAAAATTTTACAATAATACTCCTTTATACAGACTAATTATGGTGGATGTCAGTGTAAATTCTCCTCTGCATGTGCACTAAATGCAGCTGCATGTGCACTGCCTAGGGAGAAAGCAATATGAATCATTTGATTATTTCAGAAAACATGTCCCTTGGCAGAGGAAACATCCTCGATTATTCTCCACCTTGTCCATGTTGTTTTCAGAACAAATTATGTGCTTTATTACTCTAAGGTCCATTTCCATGATTATTTATGTTACTCTAATTTTCGTTTTTTTGCTTGGGTCTTACAAAAGAGTGACTATCAAGTAAGTTGTTATGTGCTTTTGGAAAAAAGTAAAAAAGTTATGTAATTAATTTATTATGATAATTATATCAAGTATAAGCCATAGAATATAAATCATTGACTGAAATGACTAAATTCAAATTTTTTTATTCAAAAATCATATTTTTAATGGAAACCATATATATATTATGTTAAGTGCACATCGAATTATTAGGTAAAGATAAACATTAAAATTGTAAAGTAATGAGTCCTCATTTGTTTACATTTCATCTTAACAGTTTGTAATTTTCCATGATTGTTTATAGAAATTCAAATTCAAATTAATATTTTATTGACGAGATTTAACCTTGTTGATGATTTATATAATTATTTCATTATGATAATTATCTCAAGTACAAGTCACAAAATAGGTATCATCAACTTAAATGACTAATTCAACCAGCTTACACTAAAACCATATTTTAACTTAAACTACATATATATTATGTCAAGTACACATCAAATTATTAAGTAAAGATAAATATTTAGTATGAAAGTTGGATTTTCATTTTATAAGGAAATTTTGAGTGTGTATTTATTGTCACAAGTCATGTTTTCAACCAAAAAAATATACTTGTTAAATGGAGGAAGGGTCTTATTTAAAAATCCAAAACTTATTCCATTTTTTATTGATGTGGAATTCGTGGCATTCTATCTCATCCAATTATGTAACACTTTTATTGCTTTGGCTCTTTTATCATAGATGAAAGGGATCCACCTTGGTCCAAGTTTACCCCGACTTTACTATCTCTAATGAAGGGTCTCATTCTAGTAGAAAGTTAGATCTACTCTGATATCTACAGGTCCACATTGGGTTTACTCTGATACCACTTATCACAAGCTCATGTTTCTAGCACTTTTGTTGCACTAACTCTTTTACCCATAAAGGAGAAAGATTCATTTTTATTCGAATCTACCTCAACCTTGGTATCTTTTATGAAGAGTCTCATTATATTGAAAAGTTAAGTTTACTCTAATACTACTTGTCATTAACCCACATTGTGTCTTCTTTCATACCACTTATCACAAGCCCATGTTTCTAACGCTTTTGTTGCACTGGCGTTTTCACTCACAAAGGAGAGAGACTCACCTTATCATAAATAAGCTCTTATGTCTTCTTGGAAAGAAATAAAAATCAGTAAGAATTATCTTCAATAAATTTGTTGAGATTTTAAAATATTGTATATTGACAAGATTTTACTTATTTACTAGTTATGTAATTAATTTAATATGATAATTATGTCAAGTACAAGTCATAAAACATATACCATTGACTCAAATGACCAAATTCAAATCTTCTTACTCACAAATCATAACTTAATAGAAACCGTAAGTATATTATGTCAAGTACACGTCGAATGATTAAGTAAAGATAAACATTAAAATTTATTGTTAGACTTTCACTTCGTAAGGAAATTTTGGATACGTTTTCACTATCTCAGATTTGGCGTTTATAATATAATAATAATCTAAAATATTGAATATACCACAAACAAAAAATCTAAGACATTGTAATGTTATGCTTAAATGCTCAAAATTATTAAGTCTAAAATTAAAAAAAATAAAAAAAATAATTTGCTTGACGCATCATCCAAAGATTATATCTTGTAACATAATTATAAATAATGATTCCTTATTTGTTTACATTTTATCTTAACAGTTTGCAGTTTCTAATAATTGTACTATTGAAATTCAAATTCAAATTAACATTTCATCGATGAGATTTTACTTCATTAACAATTTATGTAATTATTTTATTATGATAATTATGTCAAATACAAATCACAAAATAGATATCATCAACTCAAATGACTAAATTCAAACCCTCTTAACTCTAAAATCATATTTTAATTGAAAATATACGTATATTATGTCAAGTACAGATCAAATTATTAGTTAAAAATAAATATTAAGTATGAAGTTGGGCTTTCACTTTATAAGAAAATTTTGGGTATGTATCTATTGTCATGGGTCCAAATTCAAAAGAAATATTTGTTCAGTAGAAGAAGATCCTTATTTATAAACCTAAAACCTATCTAATCTCTTATTAATATGAGATTCGTGGCATTGTACTTCACCTAATTGTGTGATAGTTTTGTTGCATTGTCACTTTTATTCATAGAGGAGAAAGATCTATCTTGGTCTGGATCTATCTCGACTTTGGTATTTTTCATGGGAAGTCTGTGTTAGTGGAGTGTTTGGTCTAATTTTATATTTTTTTAAGTTTTGTTTTTGGCTTGGGTCTTGAATAAATTTATTAACATTTTACAATATCATATCTGAGCAAGATTTTGCTTTTTTTTTACGAGTTATGTAATTAATTCATTATGATACTTATGTCAAGTACAAGTCACAGAATATAAATCATTGACTCAAATGACCAAATTCATTATGATAATTATGTCAAGTATACGTCAAATTATTAAGTAAAAATAAATATTAAAATTGAATGTTGGACTTTCACTTTATAAAGAAATTTTGGATATGTATTTACTATCTAGAATTCGATATTTATAATATAACAATAATCTAAGACACTGAATGTACCACAGTATATATATATAGATATATATATATATATAGTACATTGTAAATATTATGCTTAAATGCCCAAAATCATTAAGTCTAAAATTTAAAAAAAATAAAAAAATAATGTACTTGACGCATCACACAAACATTATATCTTGTAGTATAATTAAATTAAACGTAATGGATCCTTATTTGTTTACGGTACATCTTAATAGTTTGTAGTTTTCAATGATTCTACAATGAAAATTCAAATTCAAATTAACATTTCATCGACGAGACTTTGCTTTATTTACAATTTGTATAATTATTTCATTATGATATTTATGTCAAATACAGATCACAAAATAGATATAATCGACTCAAATAACTAAATTAAATCAATTTACTCCCAAAACATATTTTGACGTAAAGTACATGTATATTTATGTAAAGTACGCATCTAATTATTAGGTAAAGATAAATACTAAGTACGAAAGTTGGACTTTCACATTATAAGAAAATTTTGAGCATGTACATAATGTCATAGATCATGTTTTCAACTCAAAAAATATGCCTATTAGATAGAGAAAGGCTCTTATATATAAACTCAAAATCCATCACATTTGTTATTGATGCAGGATTTATGATGTTCTACCTCACCCAATTGTACAATACTTTCATTGCACTGGAGTTTTATGTAAATTGAGAGTTAGGTCTACACTGATACCACTTATCACATGCCCATGTTCTAACACTCTTGTTACATTGGCACTTTCACCTATAGAAAAAAGAGACTCATCTTAGTTTAGGTCTATTTCAATCCTGGTATCTCTCATGAGTGTTCTCATTATATTGAAAAGTTTGGTCTACTCTGGTACCATTTGTCACAAACCTACATTAGAGCTATTCTAATACCACTAGTTATAAATTCACATTGGATCTGCTCTGATACCACTTGTCACAACTCACAAACTTATATTTTCAACGTTTTAATTGCACTAGCTCTTTCATCCATAGAGAAAAGGGACCACATTATGATAAATAACTTACCGTATCTTTCAGAAAGAAATAAAAATCTGTAAAAATTATCTTAAATAAATTTATTGAGATTTTAAAATATCATATCTTGACGATATTTTCCTACTTACGAGTT